TTGACATGTTCATTTTACAAATTAAATAAATATTACTGAAACAGTTATCTTAATTGATAGGATAGTTATGCGCAAATAAACTCTCAATTTATTAAGAAACCATAAATCATTAAAGAATCTTAAAATATTATCAATAAATAAAATATTTAATACATTAAAATTTTAATCCTATATTTAGCGGTCATCTTAAAAATCAATGACTCAAATAAAGTGATAATAATTAAGAGATATCATGATATTTTTTAGTTAATTATTGAATGAAAAAGTTCAAATATTTTAAGTCTTATAATTTTACATATTCAACTGATAATAAAACATATTCATCTTATTACATAACATCTGCATCTTATTATTTGACATGTTCATTTTACAATGAAACATATTCATCATGTTAAAAAACATATTACGTAAAAAATCAACTTATTCGTCGTGTTAATAAACATGTTCATCTGAGAAATAAACATGTTCATCTTATAATTTAACATATTCAGCTCATAATGAAACATATTCATCTTATAACATAACATGTTCATCTTATAAGTTGACATGTTCATTTTACAAATTAAATAAATATTACTGAAACAGTTATCTTAATTGATAGGATAGTTATGCGCAAATAAACTCTCAATTTATTAAGAAACCATAAATCATTTAAGAATCTTAAAATATTACCAATAAATAAAATATTTAATACATTAAAATTTTAATTCTATATTTAGCGGTCATCTTAAAAATCAATGACTCAAATAAAGTGATAATAATTAAGAGATATCATGATATTGTTTAGTTAATTATTGAATGAAAAAGTTCAAATATTTTAAGTCTTATAATTTTACATATTCAACTGATAATAAAACATATTCATCTTGTAACATAACATCTGCATCTTATTATTTGACATGTTCATTTTACAATGAAACATATTCATCATGTTAAAAAACATATTACGTACAAAATCAATTTATTCGTCGTGTTAATAAACATGTTTATCTGAGAAATAAACATGTTCATCTTATAATTTAACATATTCAGCTCATAATGAAACATATATATCTTATAACATAACATGTTCATCTTATAAGTTGACTGACATGTTCATTTTACAAATTAAATAAATATTGCTGAAACAGTTATCTTATTTGATAGGATAGTAATGCGCAAATAAACTCTCAATTTATTAAGAAAACAATAAATAATTTAAGAATCTTAAGATATTATCAATAAATAAAATATTTAATACATTAAAATTTTAATTGTCACTATTTATTTAGCGGCCACCTTGAAAATCGATGACTCAAATAAAGTGATAACAATTAAAATATCATGATATTTTTAGTTTATTATTGAATGACAAATTTCAAATATTTTAAGTCTTATAATTTAACATATTCAACTGATAATAAAACATATTCATCTTATAACATAACATCTTCATCTGATAATTTGACAAGTTCATTTTACAATGAAACATAATCATCAAAAACATATTACGTACAAAATTAACTTATTCATCGTGTTAAAAACATGTTCATATTATAATTTAACATATTCAGCTGATAATAAAACATATTCATCTTATAAAATAACACGTTCATCTTACAAAGAAACATATTCATTTCACAAATTAAATAAATATTACTGAAACAGTTTTCTTATTTGATAGGATGGTTATGCGCAAATAAAACTTTCAATTTATTAAGAAACCATAAATCATTTAAGAATCTTAAGATATGATCAATAAATAAAATATATAGTACATTAAAATTTTAATTCTCACTATTTATTTAGCGGCCATCTTGAAAATCATTGACTCAAATAAAGTGATAATAATTAAAATATCATGATATTTTTAGTTAATTATTGAATGACAAAGTTCAAATATTTTAAGTCTTATAATTTAAAATATTCAACTGATAATAAAACATATTCATCTTATAACATAACATCTTCATCTGATAATTGACATGTTCATTTTACAATGAAACATATTCATCAAAAACATATTACGTTCAAAATCAACTTATTCATCATGTTAATAAACATGTTTATCTGAGAAAGAAACATGTTCATCTTATAATTTAACATATTCAGCTGATAATAAAACATATTCATCTTATAATATAACATGTTCATCTTACAAAGAAACATATTCATAATGTTAAGAAACATATTACGTACAAAATCAACATATACATCTTGTACAAAACCAACATATTTAACGCGTTAATAAACATGTTCATCTGAGAAAGCAACATGTTCATCTAGTAACAAAACATGTTCATAGATAACCACGAGTTTATATGTTTGGATCTGTCATGTTCATGTCCGGAGGATTGTATCCAGCGCCTCTAGGATCATGTTGAAAATTTTAGTTAGGATGAAAAGGATGCATAAGCCATCCAACAAACTCAGGATTTATAGAATAGACCCGATTAAACATGGTCTTCCTATATCCCGTGCAAAATCTACCCAAACATATTAGCATAAAGCAAAGTGGAAAACAAATCATATTATTATAATAAAAAAAAAAAGTTAAGCTTAAAATCAATCTCTACTCACTTGACACTATGCTGATCCTAACTATTAAACTTTAGCAGCTGATGGACATAAGCACATTCATTTGTGTGACTTAAAAAATCAATCTTACTCACCTGATCTTCATATCAAAAAGTATAAAGATCTACTTTTCTATAGGCAGACTATACAGACACAAATGTTTTAGCAATGGGTGCTCAACAAAGACCAGCTCAACAGCAAAATTACACATAAAGATTGTTTGGCCACCCATAGACAAGAACATATGAATCGGGCTAGAAGACGTTACCAGGTATATCTGCAACCCATAGCATTTATCAATGCTAACCGGAAATGGTCACCTTATTAATTGATGTCTAAAGGAATGACATTCCCCCTCAAAGAAGATAATGGAAAATGACAAAACAATACAGACAAAACACAACTAGAATAAACTAGGGGATTTCATAAGCCCTCCTAGAAAAAGAAAAAAAAAAAACACTCATCTGTCACAGTATCAAGCAGTCCCGGATTACTTCACACTCGCGAAAGTGAAACACACTTTTATTTATTTCTTCCTCTTGTATATCTTGGCTAGGAAGGACTTCAGCACGGCCTGCACGGGTTTTCTTGGAATAGCCTTGATGGAGCTCGTGAGTCTGTCATAGTTCTTAGCTTCGTACTCGAAAAATATGCCCTGTAGATTAAGCTCATGGTAGAGGGCTTTGATTTTCGAAACATCCGCTGGATTATCCTTTCCGTAGTGCCCTGGTTTAAAGGAAAACATGTCCAAAATGTTCACACACAGACACACATCAACTAATAGCAATAACGAAAAATTGAGGAAAGCACAATCAGTGCAGAGGCTTCTTAGTTCTTACATAAAGAATTTTCTTTTGTTCTTCATTACAGAGCTCCAGGGCTTTCACAACCAGCCAAGAGCACTTGAAGTCCTCAATATTTGTTCCAATCTGATGATTCACAAAACAAATTCAAAAAACATGCCAGTCAAATAAAGAATAGTTTTATACATTTGTAAGCCCGAGGGAGAGCTCAACAACTCACCTTCCCGATCTTTTCAGGTTCACCAAAGCAGTCCAAGTAGTCATCCTAAAGAGATAAATCAAGTACCAGGAAAGGGAATTAACACACACACACACACACACACATTGAGATTACATTGCCCGTTCAACCCGGGGCTCTGCAGAATGCCCGTTCAGACTGTCGTGGCGTCTTACACCTCATCTTATCCATGTCCCCCATTCCTAATTTTCGATCTCACTGACCATTTTCGACCCTCCGCCAACCCCACAAGGGACACCTCACTCCCGAACCTAACCACCTCACCTAGCCTAAACTCGTTGGCAAAATCTCTCAAATACTCAAAAACCTAACCGTGACCTGAAAACCTCCTCGGATCTCTCTCAGGCTTCCTGCTAGCCACGAATGGGTAGGCCCGGAAGCCCATGACCTTCCAGCAAGTTCATCTGCAAAGGGGCGTAGAGACTAGAGTGGATGACTTTTCGGGTCGGATCGAGTCCCATCGGGTCGGCCTCTGTTTTTGGTTTGTAGGCTCAGGTCCCCCCAACCTGGGTTGCCCGCTCGTAGACGACGACGGTGCGGCCTTCTTTGCGAAGTTCCATGGCGGCAAAGAGGCCAGCGGCGCCGGCACCAATGACGGTGACTGCTCTTGAAACAAGATGAGAGGAGAGATAGGTCGACGATTGTTTTAATTCGAAAATTAAATTTGTAGGATTGGAATCATAATATATATTTTTAGGGGTGTGATGAAATTGTTTTTAATTTGTAGGATTGTTATATAAATTAGATAAGTATGTGGGGGCTTGAGAATAAATAAAATAGGTACAAGAGGTACGAAGGATATAATAGGTTTTAACCAGTACAAGGGGTACAAGACAAGGTACAAAGCTACCAAAATTCTTTTTTGCCTTGTACCCTTGAATCCATCATTGATGTTCATTTTTTAGTCAATCCAACGGTGAAATAAGGGGGTACCTGATAATAAGTAGGTACAAGAGGTATCTGACCCTAGAAGGTCCCGTCAAAAGTTTGCATAATTGTATGTACTATTTTGGTTATAGGGTCAAAATCTTTTTTCACCCGTTATAAATATATTCTTTCTTTTACACACCGCCCCATCAAATAACTTCTTTTAAATCTCAAAACTAACGAAATGTTATGCGATATTACACTCGCATGTCCAAATGAACCAGCGCATATCCAAGCGGACGCATAATTTATGACTATGCGAAAACATTTCGCATTTGTGTAATCGCATATCCACATCAAACGCATAATTTACAAATATGCGAACATCTTTCGCAGTTTTAAGAATTGCATATTAAAATCGAATGCAACATAATTTACGATGATTATAAGCCTTATTTTGTAGGGCTATATCGACCTTGCAATTTATGACTGTGCGAAAACTTTTTGCATATAATTCGCATTATTTGTTGAATTCGCATTTTCTGAAAATTGCATATCCAAGTCAATCGCATAATTTACTAGTATGCAAAAAACTTTCGCATATATCCACCGGATAATTGACAATGATGCGATATTTTTTCGCTCGCATATTGAAGAATCACATAACAAAATCGAATAAAGCATAATTTAATTGACGATTACGCGCCATTTTTTCGCAGGGCCATATCGTCATGGCAATTTTACGACTATTCGGAATTTGATCGCATATCTGTCGCATAAGTTACGCACCTCATTAATTGCTTGCTTTTTCATAGGTGAGGATTTTGTCTGTGCATTTATCACGCAGGCAAAAAATCAGTGATCTCTAATAATTCAACGTCTGCACCTTTCTTCTCTACTACAATTTTCTGTTTCTTTCGTTTTAATTCCTTTTGTTGTTCACTTATTTGAATGGCTAGCACCCGTGTTAGAGTATGCGTGAGCTATGGTGGTACGTTTTCTGGGGGTTCATATCTTGGTGGAGTGGCAGAGTTGATGAGAATAAATTACGGCCGACAAATGTATTCTGAAGTAGTTTCTCGTGTTCAAGTATTATTGAAGGCCGATCCTTGTAATTTTGCGTACATATTGTGGGCAGTATTTGATGGAAGGGAATGAAAAGTGAAGATGAAAATCGAATCCAGTGAGGATATCTTAGAGCTGATTGAAGAACAAAAAAACTCCCAACATTTACGTGGAGTTGGTGAAGCGAGTAAATGTAGGTGTTCCGGGGATGGCGCAACAAAGCTTCACGCAAATGATGGCATCCCAAGGTGTATTTTCGAGTTCTTTTGGTGTTGGTAGTTCTGCATTTTCCCACGAGGCCCCATATTCACATCAAGCAGGCCCTATTCATTTACACATACTGGATATCCTCGGGGCGCTGATGATCAAACCGCGGGTTGTTTGAACCAACCTGTTCATTCTCGTGACGATGATAATAATGATGACCAAACCAACACGACAATGGTGACTCAGGCGACGAAGACAAAGAGGTACATGAGAAGCAAATGTTCAAGCTTTTCAGGGCGTGGTATAGCGAGCATATTGAAAAGCTAAGATTAATCACCGACCATATTGAGGTTGAAAGTCTTGCATATATGAATCGAAGTAGCACCCGGCAATCCTACGTTGAGCCACTAATGTGGTCCCTTCCTATGCCGCCCACGTCTACTGTATCATATAGACAACCCATCCACTTACCCTTGAACAATATAGAATTATCTTTGGGGTCTGTCTTTCTTTCGAAAGAAGAGTTGATTTGTGCCATTCAGCTGTATCACTTGCAAGAAAAAGTTGCGTGTCGAACACCCAAATCCTGCACTTCTAGGTTACAATCTGTTTGTCGGTATGAAGGGTGTTCTTACAAGTTATGTGTAAGGGCAAAGCGAGATGTATGGAGAATCACTACTTTGAAACTCGAGCATACATGCGAAGGGAGTTTGACGCAAAATCGACACCGTTCGGCTAATTCCAAGGTTCTCGCTCATATTTATGCACCAACTATTCAGAAAAATCCCCAGACGGTATCTACACGGAGAATTATTGAACAAATGCAGGAGGAGCATGGTTTGTCGATCAGCAACAATGTGTCTCTCCGAGCAAGACACCGTGCTTTTGAAAAAGTTTATGGAGGTTATGAAGAATCATGGGGGCGGATTCCCGGTTACTTGCACATGTTGCAGGTTCGTAATCCAGGTACAATTGTCGAACTGCAACGAGATGGCGAGGTATTCCAACACTTGTTCTTTGCTCTAGGAGCTAGCATTGAGGGCTTTCAACGAGCTGGTGTCCCGGTAATTGTGATAGATGGTACCCACTTGAAGGGAAATACAAGGGCATTATGTTTGTTGCAGCCACATTGGACGGGAATCAACAAATCTTTCCCCTTGCAGTTGGCATTGGTGATGTAGGGCGTCGTGAGACTTGGAGTTGGTTTTTGACTCAATTGAAAAGGGCCTATAGTTGTCCTGATAACCTCCTCATCGTATCAGATAGACATGATTCTATCATATATTCTGTCCCAAGAGTGTTCCCCGAGGCGCATCATTCATTTTGCTGTTATCACATCACAAAACAAATGAGGCCTTTTGGGAAATCTGTCTTGGGCATATTTTACAAGGCGACATATTGTTATCGGCGTGAAAACTTCTATCGTTACTTGTCATCCATCCAAAGCCTAAAACCCGAAGAATTTAAAAAGCTAACTAATGAAATTCTAGTAAATGCTTGGGCGAGGTGTTTTACACCTGTACGACGCTATGGATTCATGACATCCAATTCATGCGAAAGTTTGAACAACAAACTTCGTCGGGTCAGGATGTTACCCGTTTGCTCATTGTTGGAGTATGTTCGAGCAACGATAGAGAAATGGTTTATTGTTCGGCGTGCATCCGCCGAGGGTCGCAATCATCCGCTAACGCAGTGGACTCAATTGCGGTTGGATCCTTTGTTCGAGAAAGGTCGTACTATATCCATTACCACACTCGGCATGCAACGTTATAGGGTTATGGAAGAAACACGATCCTACATGGTAGATTTACAAGCAAGAACATGTGATTGTCGTGTGTTTGAAACAGATCTACTACCTTGCTTACATGCATCTACGGCTATTCGGTAATGTTTACCAAACAACATTATCACTTTTTTCTTTAAAAAAATAAAAATAAAAATAAATTGCTATATTCTAATATGATGTGCATTTACGATATGTAACAGGGAAGTCGGGTTAGATATAATGGATTTTGTTAATGACCATTACAAAACCTACTCAGTTGTAAGGATGTACCAAAGCACCTTTAGCCCCGTCCCATATCCAGATGAATGGCACTTGCCCCCGGAAATTATGCGTAAAAAGATCATTCCGCCAAATGATCCCAAACAAGCAGGTCGGCCACGGACTCAACGTTATTCTGCTGGAGAAGGATCATTACGTCGAGTACGGCATCAGCAGATGTGCTCACGGTGCGGGGTCACCGGGCATAACAGGGCGAAGTGCCCTCTATACGATGGTGATAATGACTTTTTTTTTTCAAATGAAGAAGGTCAAAACACACCAACTCCTCATCCAAGATGCCCGAGGAGATGTCGTACATGTAAAGAAACAGGTCACAAATCGTCATCTTGTCCATCATGTCCAATCCATGACAATTAATATGAAGATGGAGTTTTTAATTGTAAACCAATTTAACGAAAACAATACTTTTAATGGGAAAAATACTGTGTTGGTGCCCAAAGTTGTGACCTGCACACAATTGACTAACAAAAATTAGTGAAATTGGGTTGATTTCGCGATTCGCATAACATGTCCCATAATAATCGCACAATTGGGTTGATTGTGCGATTCCCATATCATATCCCATAATAATCGCACAACTTGGATGATTCGCCTAGTCTTCAACCGCATAATTAACGAATCATATATCCAAATCGAAAGCCACATAATTTACGACTATCCGCCATTTTTTTTGCATATCCATATGGACCGCATTGATTGATCGTCTGCACCGCATATCCAAACCGAAAATGCTTCACATATTGTTCGCATAAGTTACGCACCGCATTGATTGATTGTCTGCTTTTACACCTAAAAAACAATGACGATTTGCATGCTTCCTCATTTAGTTGTCAAGTTGATGTATATCTCTACCTAGCCTTTAAGTGCTATCTGTATTTATTAACCTTTCATTCTCTTTGTTGAAGAAGCGACCTTTCACTTCTCAAAACCCTATCTTTCCATCGCAGCAAAAAAAAAAAAAAAAAAGAGATGGAAAGGATTTCACCCTATGAAAAAGATCGCGATCCGCTTTCGTGGCAAATTTTGGACTGACTGCAACAATAATAAATATTTTTTTCTTCTGTCAAGTATGTGTTTAATCATGATTCATATGTCAAAACAAAAACAATATGTTGCATGGACAATGAAACCATTAATATCTGTCAACAGAGTTTTGCCAACAAAATCAGCGACAATACTCGAAGGGAAATTATTATTCGCAGAACTGTGAACAAAGTGCGATAATTCGCATTGTGTTCGCATAGCGTAATGAAAAAAATAAAAGTAATTTATAGTTTTTAATCGCATATCCAGGACAGATCAATCAAACGCATCATTTAGGATTATTCGGCATATGTCCGCATAATTTAAGATTCGCATATCCAAATCTATAAGGCTAGATAGTAGATAAATATCGATTATGCGTATTGTTATTGCATATTTACGCATCGCATATCCATATAAAACCTCGCATAAATGTATCAATATGCGAACACATTTCGAAAAGTGTTACGCACAGCTTTTTTTCACCTAATAGTTTTTTTCAATTCATTATTAATTTAGTCAAAGATATTTTCCAAAATTTACCAACTCTTCGAAAAATATGGACGTTTGTATGCCGCAATTTTTTACGTCGCGGAATATAAAATTTACAAAAACAAATATAAAAATATATATGTTATTCGTTATAGTTCGAGTTATGCGTTTTTTATGCGAAAATGTATCGAGTAATAATTGCAGGTTCTTTCGCCTAATTGTAGTCTTCTTCAATTTATTATTAAATCACTGACATAACTTAAAAAAAAAATTATTATGCACCAATTCTGCAAATAATATGCGACGTATATGTCGTAATTTTGCATCGACTCAACTACTTTACATCAACTAATTTTATATAGACGAATAATATGCGACGCATGTACGTCGCGATTTTACATGTACTCGACTACTTTACATCGACTGAAGTAGTTTACAAGTAACCTTACAATGTCACACAAATTACTAGATAGAGGAGACTACAACAGCGAGTTGAAGAACAGCTTCAAAGATCAGAATGAATTGGATGACTGTGCCGAAGTTGGAGGAACATGGGGGCTAAACAAGTTGGTCCGCGAGATGAACGTGTTCGCCAAGCCATGTTTGACTTTCGATAAACATTTAAAAGTCTCAATCTAGTATACCCCGGAAGAACAAACACCTTCGTGTTTGAAGGGCTGCTCCCTTTCGCCGTCGTAAGCGCCTCAATCTAGTAAACCCTGGAAGACCAAGCAATTCGCAGGAGATTCCATGTCTTCCCAAACACATGGTCACCTACAACTTTTTCAGCCTCCAATTTTTTTTAGCTTAAAATGTAGGACGACCATGTGCCTGGGAAGGCGTGGGATCTCCAGGGAGAGTGCTTGGACTTCCGAGGTATACTAGATTGAGGAGGCTACGACAGTGAAAGGGAGCGCACCCTCAAGACAAAAGGAGGATCAGGACCCATCTCTCAATTCTTCAACCTTCGATTTTTCTCAACATGTCCTACAATGAAGAGACTTCATTGACCGGCATGTTGAGGAAAGCGAGAGTTGAAGAATGTTGAGAAAATGGTCCTGATCCTAATACAATTGTCTCATCTCAGCTATCTTTTATAGAAGACTCAAGAAGATATCCTCCTTGATATGCGCGACGTTATTAATTTGCCAAAGACTGAGAAGACGTTTCGGAGCGACTCTTCAAATTCGCAGAACTACGAATAAAACGCGATGAATCGCACTTCATTCGCATAACTTTATGACAATAAATGATTTCATATATCTGGTTAATAGAGAAGATATCTATCCTCCTTGATACGCGCGTCGTTATTAATTTGCCAAAGACTTGAGGGGTCATTTCGGAGCGACTCTATAAATTCGCAGAACTGCGAACAAAATGCGATGAATCTCACTGCATTCGCATAACGTATTGACAATAAATGCTTTCTTATATCTGGTTAAAGAAGATATACTCAAGAAGATATATATCCTCCTTGATATGCGCGCCGTTATTATGCGCCGAAGAAGAGGCGACTCTTCAAATTCGCAAAACTACGAATAAATGCGATGAATCGCACTTCATTCGCATAACGTATTGACAATCAATTGCATTTGATTTTGCATATATGGTTAAAAAAACATACATAAATTATAATTAATTGTTTTTTATACGCCGAAGACTGAGGAGACGTAGTTTCGGAGAAGAGGCGACCTTTTTCGTAAAACAACTGTCATTTTGTGAGACGAAAAGACGCAACCTGCCAACCTTTATTTCGCAGCACGGCGAACAATGTGCGATTAATATCGCATATCTTTCGCATACCTGAAATTAAAGAGGGAAAAAATCCCGCCAAATTAATTACTAGAGCAGTGAAATGAAATTAAGGTTCAAGCTCAATCTTAGATAAAATGTGGATTATGAGTTAAGGTATGTAGATAAATATTGTTTAATGTGATTATGTTTGAAAGTGACAATAGATGAAAACCACTTATTAAAAAATATAATAATGTTCAATCTCAACTTAGATAAAATGAGGATTATGAGTTAAGGTATGTAGATAAATATTGTTTAATGTGATTATGTTTGAAAGTGACAATAGAAGAAAACCACTTATTAAAAAATATAATAATATTTAAGCTCAATCTTAGATAAAATGTGGATTATGTGTTAAGATATGTAGATAAATATTGTTTAATGTGATTATGTTTGAAAGTGACAATAGAAGAAAACCACTTATTAAACAAAATATAATAAGGTTCAAGCTAAATCTTAGATAAAATGTGGATTATGAGTTAAGGTATGTAGATAAATATTGTTTAATTTGATTATGTTTGAAAGTGACAATAGAAGAAAACCACTTATTAAAAATATAATAATGTTCAAGCTCAATCTTAGATAAAATGTGGATTATGAGTTAAGGTATGTAGATAAATATTCTTTAATGTGATTATGTTTGAAAGTGATCACAATAGAAGAAAACCACTTATTAAAAAATATAATAATGTTCAGGCTCAATCGTAGATAAAATGTGGATTATGAGTTAAGGTATGTATATAAATATTGTTTAATGTGATTATGTTTGAAAGTGACAATAGAAGAAAACCACTTATTAAAAAATATAATAATGTTCAATCTCAACTTAGATAAAATGAGGATTATGAGTTAAGGTATGTAGATAAATATTGTTAAATGTGATTATGTTTGAAAGTGACAATAGAAGAAAACCACTTATTAAAAAATATAATAATGTTTAAGCTCAATCTTAGATAAAATGTGGAATATGTGTTAAGATATGTAGATAAATATTGTTTAATGTGATTATGTTTGAAAGTGACAATAGAAGAAAACCACTTATTAAAAAAATATAATAAGGTTTAAGCTCAATCTTAGATAAAATGTGGATTATGAGTTAAGGTATGTAGATAAATATTGTTTAATGTGATTATGTTTGAAAGTGACAATAGAAGAAAACCACTTATTAAAAATATAATGTTCAAGCTTAATCTTAGATAAAATGTGGATTATGAGTTAAGGTATGTAGATAAATATTATTTAATGTGATTATGTTTGAAAGTGACAATAGAAGAAAACCACTTATTAAAAAATATAATAAAGTTCAAGCTCAATCGTAGATAAAATGTGGATTATGAGTTAAGGTATGTATATAAATATTGTTTAACGTGATTATGTTTGAAAGTGACAATAGAAGAAAACCACTTATTAAAAAATATAATAATGTTCAAGCTCAATCTTAGATAAAATGTGGATTATGAGTTAAGGTATGTAGATAAGATAATGCTACTTGTACCCCTTGGTGTACCAC